TCACACAAAAAGATAAGATTGTAGGTCTCACATCCTAACCAAGCCTTCTATTGTTGTGGTTTCCTCGTTTCGGGCTCAAATTTTTAATTCATCGACTTTTCGAAAAACATAAATCGAGGTATTCCGATTTAGTTTATGTCGAAACTCATATAATAATGTATATTAGTTGTTTTGAATGTGTTTCCATATTGTTTTGTATTTTTTTTGCGATTAAACTAGTATGTTATTTTTATCCGGACTAAGATATTAGTGTTCTAAAAAAATATGTAAAAATTGAGAAATCATTATTTTTTTAAAATAAATTTCTTTTACTGTTTTATATGTATTTTAGTGATTAAAATGTATTTGTTGTTTTTATCTAGTTTAGATTATTTATTTACTTAAAGACTAGTGTCTTTTAGTGTAGTAAAATGTAAAACCTTTTAGCGTAGAATCCATGTAGTTTAAGTATCTTTTATACCGATAGATCAAACACAAACTCTGTCCAATTTACAAAAATTAATTATTTAATTTATAAAACAAACATACAAAATTATGAAAATATTAAAATTGACACATATAAGAATTCACGATAGCTTGGTGCTATTGAGCCTCGAATATCGAGCCCGAAACCCATAGGTATATACTCTATCCAATTAAATATGATAAAAATTAATTATTTAATTTACAAAACAAACATACAAAATTATGAAGATATTAAAATTGACAGACATAAGAATTCAGGATAGCTTGGTGCTACTAGGTCTCAAATATCGAGCCTGGAACCCATAGGTATATACTCTGTCCAATTAAATATTGTATAATTATAAAGAATAATTATTTAATTTACAGATCAAACATACAAAATTACGAAAATAATAAAATTCACACATTCAAGAACTCAGGATAGCTTGGTGCTACTGGGCCTCAAATATCGAGCCTGGAACCTATAGATATATACTCTGTCCAATTAAATATTGTATAATTATAAAAAATAATTATTTAATTTACATATCTAACATACAATTAATGTTGTTTAATTTACGGTAGACGATATGAACGTGCCGCCTATGCATCCTGGACCTGTCTCCGATGAGCTATTAATGTTACAGGGCGATCATAGGTCCGCCTACGTATGAGAGGGTGAGTTACTGGCCCAGACTCTCCGCGCCAGGAGAGTGGACGACATGTGGGACTTTATGAAGGACAGAGATCTCCATCCCTGTGTAGTCCAGCGCCTGCGAGATACGGCCTTCTACAGGATTTTGGAGATCGGGCGGCTGCAGCTCGACTGGTCTTTGATCACGGCCCTGATAGAGCGGTGGCGACCGGAGACGCACACTTTCCACCTGCCCATTGGCGAGGCCACCATCACGCTGCAGGACGTGGAGTTTTTATATGGGATGCCTGTTGATGGACTGGCCGTTGCATTGCCTCAGGCCATGAGAGAGATGACGCGTGGGCAGTATTTGGACATGCTGCAGCAGCTCACTGGTTTCAGGCCACAGGATGAGACTGCACACTCAGGGGCCAGTCGCATGAGTTTGACAGCTATTCGACAGCATTTAGAGATATTGCACCCCGACATCATCGGCGAGACAGATGATCTGCATATTCACCGGTATACGAGGTTACTGCTGCTCCTTCTATTTGGGGGGTCTTGTTCCCGAATACTTCAGGGAACCTAGTCAGCTTACGATTTCTTCATCATCTTCAACTGCTAGATGATTTACCCCAGTACAACTGGGATACTGCTGTTCTCGCCTACTTGTACATGCATATATGGCGGGCGAGTATGGGCACCCAGCATGATGTATGTGGATTTTTGCCGCTTCTACAGGTGACAACATATTCGAATACTCTGTTCATTCCTTCCAATTCTATCTAGTCAAAAATTATCTTAAACTTTACGTCAACTTTGTATATTAGGTTTGGGCCTGGGAGCGATTTCTGCAGTTGCAGTCACCTCTACCACCATTACCTCCGGATGTACCACCTCCGTTTCTCCCTTTAACTAGGAGGTGGGTTCTCCGACGTGGATATGTATGAGATTATGAGGCTCGGCATAATCTCCCCATTTGCAGGGATGTGTTGGATATGTTGGAGGGCGCACAGGTAAATGTGTACCTAAACTTACTTGGTATAGCTTCACATGTGTTACGCATACTCACGCTTTCTGTTGTTATTTGATAGTTCATCTGGACGCCATACAACGACAACTTGATAGGTGGCCTGTCCGATTATTGCTCGGCCGGCCGACTGATTTGGAGCACTTCCGTCTCGCTGATGTGCCTCGATATTGTGGAGCATCATGCCACGGAGCGGGTACTGTACTGGTTTTTCTGGACTCCGCTCAAGCTTCCATTCAACAACTGTCCCGAGGTTAAAGTGTTACAGTGCAGCCATGTACTTGGGTAGAGCTGCAAATGACTTATCTCAGTTACCATAAACAATTTCAAACGCACGTTTGCGCCCGAGAAATGCCTTTCTTTTGGTAATGGTATGACCATATTCCTGGTGAACTGATGTAATGCACTCTTTGATTTTATACCTTATGGACGCTTCAAGGTGTGGAATAAGGACAAGAGAAATCAAGTCAATATCCAAGTTGTAGTGATTCCCATTGAATGTGTCCATTTCACATCTGTGGGTGGGAATGTATTTACCCACTTGCCACAAACCTGTTTTCTTCTTGCTCGCATGTAGCATCCAATGACAACCCGTAAACCATCTGCGGCAAACAACCTTGTATACCTTCGGAGTTGACTCCCATACCCTCATCTCACCACACTCTTTTACGTTGTACATTTTCGCCGCCCTGCTTAGGCGCGCTTTATCAGGAAAAAGCATGCCCTTTGCCAGCACTGTTAGTCTAGAATCATCCCACATTGCTGTCCGAATTTTATCAAAATCCCTTGTGAGAGCATCCACTTCCGGTATACTTGGCAAGTTATCAAGGTAGGGAATATTCCTTGAATGAAACGGCACTTGGGACTCGTACACTCTTGGTCTAACGGAGGGTGGAGCATAATCCCTCTTCAAATCAGGTCCTTCATTCTCTTCCTCCTCATCACCATCCTCACGAGGGAAGGGTGTGTTGTCTCCGGAATCATCGACATTGTTGTCATAATCACTGTTCTCTTCCTCACTCTATACATCTGCCAGATCCCGATTTAATGTGTCATCTTCGGGCAATTGAGTGAGGACATGTGGTTTAACTTGCTCATTTTTACTGCACAAACAACACAATAATAAGCTACTGAAATTAATAAATACTTTCCATATAGCTGTATCACTTCACTTACAAGTCGTAACGTGTTGACATTCCTTGATGGACATTATCCTGTTGGTGATGACTATCGGATGGACCACCATGATCCAACACACCAGAACTACGCATATTCCAACTAGGAGTGGGTTCATAACTTGTAAAAGTCATATCTGGCCGGTACCCCCTGTGGAATATATGAGTGTTAATACAAATTTAATACAACAAAAATATACATCATAACACTAAGGAAAATTGAAGTTTATCACTCGTCTTGTGGATTATGTAAAGTAGGAGAGAAATTATTTCCTCGCTCCTCATTCGCCCATGGTGATAAGTTTAAATCAGGGCAAACTCTTTCATCCGGAACCTGTCCGGCAAAAACTGCTCCAGAATAACCACCCGATGGCTGAGGGTTATCCCTACTACGCGCAACCTCATTATTGCGAATGTCTCCGACCTTGGCGTACATTTCCAATATTTTTATCACAAGAAATTCCCGGTATTCATCCGGAATCCTAAAAAAATTCCTCAAAGTTTCATCATCGTCGATGTTAAACTCAGCGTAACAACCAACCCCTTGCGGAGTGACGGAATACGGATATCTTCTGATTACTTAAGGTTCACCGAACGTTTCCTCACACTCATTTTACTATATAACAACGATACCAATCTATCGTACTCCATTGTAAGTGGCAACTTAACATGATACTGTGGAGATAAACTATAGCTCACAGAGTTATTCGCCACCACAACCTTACCCCCCAATATAATGAAATCCTTACTTTTCGCTCTTCAGACATTATGAAAAAATACTTGAGAATTTAACAAGAAGAAAAATTTGAACGAGAGTTAGGAATATTTTTGAATGGATTTTTGTAAAATCCTAACGCCTTTAAATAAGGCAATGCCTAGCTCGGGGGCTGCAAAGTATACCCATTTGAATTATTGTTATGTCAGTTAAACGCAGGAGACTTATTTGTGGGCCCACAAAATGGATATAGCGCATTTATATACCGCGCTATGCACTATAACGCAGTTTACAGTAACGTTATATATATATATAGTACTTTTTTAAAAAGCGCTATACTTTAACGGTCAAAACTCTGCTAAAGTAAAGCACTCTTTAAAAGAACGCTATATATAAAAATATCACTTTTTTTTTTTTTTTTTTTTTTTTTTTTTTTTTTTTTTTTGGGAAGGCACACTTTCGTCACACTTGTCCAAAAGAACAAGAAATGTGTTATGGACTCTTCAAAGGGTTGAAGGACCTCCCTGTAACCCCTCTATCTTCTCTTCCTTTATTCCGACTTTCGTCCAGTCATGTCACCGGCGGCTACTCCGCCGCCACTGTTAGCTCTGCATCAACTGCTATCTCTTTTTCCATTTTCATGTTTAGTCTTTTTCCCTTGCTCATTCTTCACCCTTCTCTCACATCCCGTTTTTGTGAAACTTCTGGAATCATATCCCCACGCCAAAATCATTAAATCCCCCATGCTTCAGACCTGGGACACCTCGGGAAGAGGTAGATTAGGAAGGAGAGAGAGAGAGAGGTAATTCGGGTCCCAAATGGGTCGACCCAATTCCTCATCTCCTTTCTTATCTCCCCTCTATAAATCCCAGCAAAAATCAGAACCAAAAACCAAAAGTCAAGTACTATAGGATGTAGGTTTCATTTTATCTTTACTGCTCATTCGTATTCTCCATTTTCCTCTTTATTTTGTTTACATTGTGTGTTTATACGATTTTCTTGTTTTAAGTACTGATTTTTCTCTCTGTCTCTGTTGTTTTATAGTTGAGTCAGAGAAAGAAACAACAACAACTAACATACCCATTGTAATCACACATATTAGCGTTTGGGGAGGGTAGTGTGTCCGCAGACCTTACCTACCTTGTGGAGATAGAGACCATGTTTCCAATAGACAAAATGAGCCAGAGAAAGAAGGTGAAAGATAAAAATGGTGACATCAATTGAGCAAGTGACTATCCCAGATCATCTCCCTGAGTTCTTTAAGATTTATCACCCTCAAATATGCAACCCCCAACTGGTAATATTTGCTGTTATAATTGTTAGTTATTTCTCCTTAACTGGTAACAGAACTGTCGCATTAAGATCCACTAGTTGAACTTTTAACTTATTCCAACCTTGTTGCTGTTCTTAATTAATTGAAAAACAGAGATCATTTCATGCTGGTATGTTCTCTTAGAGTTTTTGGTTCTTGTCTGAATGTTCACAGTAATATGGGTCCTTTTAGATGTTGATGAAAATAATACTCAAAACTTGCAAATATTTATTTCTTAGTGCTACTCCTTATAATCTGGTAAGAATGAGTGTTTATTATCCTAATAAGCAATCTATACTCGTATAATTGCAGAGAAACTAGGATTAGAGATGGTTTGTAAATATTTAAAGAAGGCTTAAAGATGTATATGCTAAATGAATGCCAATTTAATACACTTCATTATTGACTGAAGAGTGAATGTTGACATAATAAAAGCTTTACCGGGTAGTTATGGCCCTAGATGACTAGAGTGGACATTATCAGACAATATACTCAAGAAATTAGCACTGGAATAAGACCCAGCTAGGAGTGTACTTTAATTTTTGTTAAAGCAATTCTATCTTGTTCTGTTGTTTATATTGCACATCTTTCTTCCACCGGAAATCAAAGTGAAGTTACGTTTCGTTTTGTGTCTCCTTTGCTTAGAGAATTCCACCGGCCTTTCTCAAGTTTTTCAATGGAGATATTCCCGCAAACTCTATGCTTCAAGATCTTGCAGGGAGATCTTGGAAGGTTGTTGTGGAAAAGAATGACAATGATTTCTTTTTCATGGGAGGTTGGCCAGACTTTGTGCGGGACAATAATTTGAAATTTGGAGAATTTTTAACCTTTTCCTATGTTGGAAATTCAAACTTTTACGTTAAAATATATGGGATAAATGGCAGCTTAAAGCGGGACGTAACTGCCATCAAAGAGCCTGAGCTGCATCCATTGGACGAAGAAATTGTGCAGGGTAAGCTTCTTTGAAGATCTTCAGCTTGTAGCTAGTGTGGTGTGACACATCTATCTTCATGCTTAACCTTTAAACTTCAGTTCCAAAAATAGTCAACTTACAAATGAGCTGGTTCAGAGATAGGTACGGCAGCTCCGCCAGCTGATCAAGCACTTAATGGATCAGGAGACTTGGTTGTTTATGCCCCTTCATTCGACATTGTCATCAAGCCATCTTATATCCGAAAAAAGCGTTTGGTAAGTTATTATTTGCTAATTTGCATGCATTCATAAATCCGTTAAACTAATTTTCAAAAATGTCATTAAATACAATTGCTTTAGTATCAAAGATGCAAAACAGTATAAAAAATATTCATGTAAACTAGTCACTTTATCCAGTGGCATATTTAATTCCTTTTACAAGTGTTTCTGGGATTGACATTTATGTCCAATAATTTCCCAACAAAAGAAACTTTTAAAGAAAATAGAAGCTTCAATATATTCTTGTGAGCTAATTAGTTGAAAATGTTGACCTTTTTGGAAGATAGAATTGTGTGAAATGCTGTGCAATTTATTATTGAGCAAAAGGTAAATGTTTCATGAAAAGAGAAGTGATTAGTTCTCTTCCCAAGGAACTGACAAAATCATTCAGATGATTTATGTCATTTACACCATAACATTATATCAAACTGACAAAACGTATAAGCAATTGTATTTCAGCTGATGCACATTTGTTTTATCTCCATGAAAGCATCTTATGTTATCGCTCATTCAATAGCAGCCGAAATATAGTTAGAGGGATACAGTTCCATATTCTTATAATCGGCTTATGAGCCCTTCCTCTCCAGCTGCAAAGAACCTGTTTTGTGTTCCCTGTAAAGACCCATTTGATATTGACCAGATTTAAGAATAGTTTCCACAACTCCCTAGCTATCGTACAATATGTAAATAAGTGATTGACTGGTTCTGTATCTTTTTTCACACAAAGAACATCTACTGCATAAGATAAAACCTCTTTTGGCTAGATTTTGTGCAAGGCATGCTTCATGCAATGCTATAAATTTCCACCAGCTTCCCCTTTGATAAGTAATGCATCCCGTCCTACATTTGATAACTTCATTCTTCTATGCTGCCCATCAACTGCAGCCAACTGTCCATCTCCAAGTCATGAAATTTCCTTCTAAATTGTTGTGCAATTTTAACTACCTTGCGCTTCAGAATCAAAGACATCCTCTTTGATTCTGTGTTTCTTTGACCTGAATATTTAATGAAGAGAAAATATTTTACCTCCAAAAAAATTAAAACTTCAGATGCATATAATTCGCAGTAGATGATAACTCGGCATTTTATGATTATATAGTTGTAACTTTGCATGTCGTCACAATAACATCAGCTATGTGAATATTATTGGTCAAGTGGTATTCTATGAAGTAGTTGAATATACTTCGAATTGTGATGGAAGTTGTCTTACTGATTGTTGTAGTGTTTTTAATTCATTGCATTTGATATGGATCACTTGATTATTAAATGTGTATTGTGTTTGAGCATGTTTGTGACCACACATACTTGTGCAGAATGTACAAGCTGCTTTTGGCAATAGATACTTGAACAGGGGGCAAGGACAAAACTTTGAGGCTGCTCTTCAAACTGATAGAGGTAGCTGGCCGGTTTCAGTTCACAATTCTGATAGACTTATACTTCAGACAGGGTTCGGAGAATTTATAGCCAGTAATGCTTTGCGTGAAGGAGATGTTTGCCAATTTATGCTGATCGATGAGGAGAAGTTCATGCTGGAAGTTAGCATTAGAAGACAACTCAAGTAAAGTAGTCATAAAAATAGAGGCAAATCTCTTTGATCATTTGGCTTAATATCTATCAGATTTAAATATTTCTACTTGAGAGAAAGAGAACTGTATGTTCACTAAGCATTGCATAGTGGAATAGAAGGTTGATGCATCAGTAGATTAATTTAGTGTATTTACATCATTCTATCATAATTGCATGCAATACGGAATCATCTTTCGAACATCAAAATTAAACAATTTTTTTTGCATCCATTTGAAAATAGTGTTGCGTGAATCATGAGAGTGTTTTCGATTACAAGTTGGTGAGGCCGGTAGAAGAACTCGTCCTTGATCACTACTTTTCTTTTCTCAGCAACTTGTAATCTCTTCTTTTCTCTGTTGCAAGTTCAGAAACACTCATGATTCACGCGACACTATTTTCAAATGGATGTAGAAAATATTGTTTAATTTTGATGGTCAAAAGATGATTCTGTATTGTATGCAATTATGATTCTTAGTGCAATTTACTTTTGTTTTGATGGGTGGTTCAAATTGCAGCAAAATGAGGGTTACCTTATTTGACTAAAATCTAAAAGGGAAACTGCATATGGTTTTGGGGTAGTAACTACTGTAGTAAATGAGTTTTACTAAATTATCTGCTCTTTGGGAATAATGTGCATGAGAACATTTGGTTGTATTGATGAAGCTGGAGTTTGATGCGAATTGAACTCTAACTTATTCTAGCTTTCTTACTGTTTTCAGTCAATTATTACATGAAGGTATGTTCTCTTAATCAATATATAGTTTCTATTCATAATAGGTCTTTTAAGATAATGAGTGATGGCTTGTATCTTTGCTGCTTTTATGTTGATGAAACTAACCGTCAAAGCTTTGAAAAAAGTATTTTATACTAGAGCTCTCACAATTCTGGCAAGATATTTATCGTCCTTGTGTTTATTTTTTGCACTCTTCACTCTAAACTAGAGATGGCTGGAATTATTTTTGAAATTGAACTTGACTACGAGTAAGTTTGAAAACTGTAATTTTTTTTCAAATATTCTTTCCACAATAAATAAAATGTTTCATTTTCTTTCCAAATAGCAAGTGTGAAATACCTCTCTATGTCCACATATCAATGTGTGTAAAAAGTCATGAATGATGTGATACTATACAACATGAGAAAAAAATGCATCTCTATGCCTGTATGTCATATGTGCATGCCAATGCCATATATCTCCGAGATGAATCATGTTCTCATACTCTCAGAGTATTCAATCTCACTGTCTCGCATCCTTTCTCACTATGCTCAATGCTCAGCACACTCAATTACTCAGCGCTGTACAATACCCGCTGCGACGTGCAACCCGATTCATATATGACCATAAGGCTCGTAGCGGTGTGCAACCCGATTCACATATATATAGTCGACTGTGCTCACTGGGGGTGTGCAGACTCCGGAGGAGCTCCTACAGCCCAAGCACTATAATTCGTACGGACAACTCACGTGTTGCACGAACAACTCACGTGCCATAATATCAATATCTGGAATCGCACGGACAACTTACGTGCCGCACGGATAACACGTGCTATAATATCAACATCTGGAATCGCACGGACAACTCACGTGCCATAATATCAATATTTGGAATCGCACGGACAACTCACGTGCCATAATATCAATATCTGGAATCGCACGGACAACTCACGTGCTATAGTGACAACATCCTCACAAACAGGCCCCCGGCCTTACTCAGTCATCAATCTCTCTAGTTTCACTCACGAGCTCACAATTTCATGAAACTAGCCCGACAACAATGATATGATGTATCAATAAATAACTGAGACTGAGATATGATATGAATGCATGAATATGACTGAGTACGAAATATCAATGAAATCAGTGGGATGACAATAAGAAACGACCACTATGGGTCCAAACAATATCGGCATAATGCCTAAACATGATATCTAGCATGATTGACAGCTTAACTACTTTATCACATGGTGAAAACACGGATATCAACAAAGTAGGACCACTATACAGTGCCATGGAAACAACAGAGTCCCAATTCACATGGTGCACGCCCACACGCCCGTCACCTAGCATGTGCGTCACCTCAATACCAATCACATAACACGTATTTCGGGGTTTCATACCCTCAACACTAAGATTAGAAGAGTTAGTTACCTCAAACAAGCTAATACTAATGCCGAACAAGTCCAGCGATGCTCCAAAGATGTCATCCCGCGCGTTCCGACCTCCGAATGGCTCGAAACTAATCAAAAACAACTCAAATGCATCAAACAATGCTAAAGGAACCAATCCCGATCGAAAAAGATCAAATCTTGAATCAAAAGCCCAAAATCGGCCAAAAGCCCAACCCGGGCCCGCACCTCGGAACCCGACAAAATTCACAAAATCTGACAACTCATTCAATTACGAGTCCAACCATACTAGTTTCACTCAAAATCGACTCCAATTCGATGTTCAAAACTCAAAAAATCATATTATGAAACTTTAGGTCAAACCCCTCAATTTTCTCTTTAAAATTCACAACCCAATTACCAAAAACGAAGGTAGATTCGTGATATAAGAAAAAAAAATGAGTAGAGAACACTTACCCCGAGTTGTGTGAAACATTTCCTCTCCAAAGTCGCTCCTTGTTCGCGGTAGCTTCCCCAGTTGTAGCTGCCCCTTGTTCGTGGTAGCTTTAGGTCTATGAAACTCTATTTATGTACTTTTCAAACAGACGATGTATTTATTTCATTTCAGCTTTGTAAATTCTNGGGGACTGTTTGTGAGGATGTTGTCACTATAGCACGTGAGTTGTCCGTACGATTCCAGATATTGATATTATGGCACGTGAGTTATCCGTGCGATTCCAGCTATTGATATTATGGCACGTGAGTTGTCCGTGCGATTCCAGATGTTGATATTATAGCACGTGTTGTCCGTGCGGCATGTGAGTTGTCCGTGCGATTCCAGATATTGATATTATGACACGTGAGTTGTCCGTGCGATTCCAGATATTGATATTATGACACGTGAGTTGTCCGTGCGGATTATAGCGCTTGGGCTGTAGGAGCCCCTCCAGAGTCTGCACACCCCCAGTGAGTGCAGTCGACTATATATATGTGCTTCGGGTTGCACACCGCAACAGGCCTTATGGTCATATATGGATCGGGCTGCATGCCGCAACGGGTATTGTACATCGCTGAGTGATTGAGTGTGCTGAGCATTGAGCATAGTGAGAGAGGATGCGATATAGTGAGATTGAGTACTCTGAGAATGTGAGTACATGATTCATCTCTGAGATATATAGCTTTGGCATGCACATATGACATACAAGCATAGAGATGTATTTTTTCTCATGTTGTACAGTATCACGTCATTCATGACTTTTTACACATATTGATATGTGGGCATAGAGAGGTATTTAACACTTGCTATCTGGTTTTATTTATTGTGGAAAGGATATTTGAAAAAAATTACAGTTTTTAAACTTACTCGTATTTTGACATTTTCGGTAAAAGATTTGGGTTTTCACCAAGATACTTGAAAAGAAATGCATATTTTTCTAGAACTGTAAATGAACTGAGCCTTTTATTTCTGAGGTACTCCTTTGTTATTGTACTATGCTGTTATGCATTGTTGTGGAATATTGGTGTTGAACCCGACCTTTTTGTTAGCTCGTCACTACTTTCAACCTAAGGTTAGGTTTGTTACTTATTGAGTACATGTGGTCGGTTGTACTCATACTACACTTCTGCACCTTGAGTGTATATGTTGGTTGCTGATGTTGCTGTGTTCGATGAGAGCTGGATTGAAGATGTACATGCGTCCCGGTTGTAGCTGCCCCTTGTTCGTGGTAGCTTTAGGTCCATGAAACTCTGTTTATGTACTTTTCAAACAGATGATGTATTTATTTCATTTTAGCTTTGTAAATTCTATTCTGAGAAGCTCATGATTTGTACTACCAGTTCTTGGGGAGTGTATTAGATTCAGATATTTTTTTACTTAATTACTTTATTAATTGTTATTGAAATTGGTTAGTGGTTAATTGGCTTACCTAGCGGGTTGGATTAGGTGCCATCACGATTAGTCGAATTTTGGGTCGTGACAAAGTGGTATCAGAGCTCTAGGTTCATAGGTTCTACAAGTCATGAGCAAGTGTCTAGTACAGTTTTGCGGATCGGTATGATGACGTCCATACCTATCTTTGAGAGGCTACAGGGCATTTAGGATATATATATATACTTCCTATCTTTCTTTCCTTATCTTGCGGAATTGATTTAGCCTGAGACATTTCTCTTTGAATTCCTTCCACGCATTCGCATGCGCACACGAGCGCTCGGTATCAGCTGTGCATCGCCGTCTTGTGATTTTATGAACGGGGTGCGAGATGTGATTTCTGTGTGCTGATGATGGGCCAGTCTGGAGGACTGGAGACCAGGTTTTTACTATAGCTCGAGCACAAAGATTTTGATTGAGTGAGCACGTGCTTTTGGACTTATACGTCCGGTAGTGTTCCTATGAGTGAAATTTGTGGATCGATGAGTAGAATGACTATGTGGTGAGTATGATGTGACCGCGAAATGTGTTTATATTGTTCGAATGTGACGAGAAGAGTTTACTTGAGATATAGCAAGAACTATGGGGTGTCTGATTTCTGTCTTGATTTGGCGTATGGTCTCGAGTTATGGGTGTATGGAGGAATCTCTCATGTTGTTTAGTTGTGGAGTGAAGTATATTCTCATGTCTTGTTGATGAGTTCAGAATCGAGAAGATTAAGTAATTGCGTAGTAGTCGTGACTGTGGAAGGGTGTAAAGAGATGTCAGTTTGAGGCAAAGCAGGTGGGTTATCCCCTGCGAGGTGTCCTGTGGTTGTGTGATCCCTAAGGTGTTTTGTAGAGAGTTCTCTTTTACCAGTGAATGATATATGTTGCAATTTGAGTTTGGATGGCCTGTGGAAGCTGGCTTAACCATCACGAGGATGAACGCGAGATTTACAGATGATTTGAGGTACTAGATGGTTTGTGTTGCATGAGCGGATGAAGGATTTAATCGAATCTCACTGTGGTATTATGGTGGTAATGGGGTATGGTTATTGTAAGTAGTCAGATGTTTTATTCCATGGCTTTGAGCCAAGTGAGAGAGTCTGCTATCGACGAGTTGATTGCATGGTTATGTGTTGTATTGGT